TTCACTTTTAATCGAAAAATCAATTCATTTTTAAAACAAATAAAAATTAGAAATAAAATCATTTTCCTTTCTGCAGAACATTTAGTATTCTACTCTTTCCTCAAGTTTTCATTTGAAGTTAAAATAAATGAAAGAATTCTTCATGAGCTCACTTGCTCTCTAACATAAAACAATATTTTCTTTTTCCGATTATAAAAAAAAGAAAATCATAAATAATAGAAGGAAAAAGGTCATCAGACTTATGTTCTTTTTTTTTAATCGGGTAATTCTTTTTAAAATGTTCGAATCCAAATAGCGCTTACAATAATAAAAGCAAGTAAGGAAAAAAATTATAAATTAAAATAACAAAATTAAGCAAAATCTGGCTTGGTTCTTCTTTTTCTTAGCCTGCAGCGGAATTAGAATTGTTTGAAAAGGAAATCCGAAGTCTTATTCTTTTTTTCCAATGTCCATTCTTTATTAAATAACTATACATTCGACTCGATTTAGAGACTAATTACAAGAAAGTGCATGATTATTCATATGTGTTATGCTGGTAAAGACTTTTTCTTTAATGCTTCCCTTCTGGGCATATATTTTTCAGAGGGTGAGTTTTCCCAGGTTCCCTACGGAAAAAAACATAAATGCAAATGCAAATATAATTCAGAGGATCAATAAGTAACTCTGTTCCCAATTTTAATGTTTATAAGCATCATATCCGAATCGTACTTTTTATTTTTTTATTTATTGTTATTTTTTCTGTTATTAGGAAAGAAAAAGAAAGGACATTTAAAATGGTTCCAGAAAGAACTTTCGATTTCGAATAATTTTATTATGTTTGATAAAGTACTGAAGTGGCTAAGCATATTAACTTGTAACTCTGCGATAATTGTTGACGCGGCTGCTAAAACACAACAAACTCATTATTTTCATAAACAATGAAACATTTGAGTAAGTTCCCAATAATTATTGTAAATTTAAAATATTATTTGAAAAATTTACAAAATATAAAATAAGTACCGAATTCCTTATGAACAGATGATAAAAATCAGTGCTACAAGCTTAGAATGAATTTTGAGTTCAGTCGAGTTGTATCAACGCTGCGTGTTACCTTTACAAGAGCGTCACAGAATTAAATAAGCAAATTCACCAAGGAATTCGGTTATACAGTCCGATATCAAATTCTAAGGAAGATACAAGCCATACATGATAATTTCAGAATTTAATCGAAATTAATCGTAATTGATACCTGATAGAAAGCAAATAATGAGATTTTATCCTGTGTAAGTTCATACAATATCTTACCATTTTTATTCTAACGTATGCTCTTCAGGTAAGAAACGCATTTTATTGATTATAAAAATCTTTTTCTGAAAACTTGGATTCTACTATGCTATTTCTTTTCATTGCATCTATGCCCCAAATATCTCTCGTAAAATTCAAGTGAACTGTTCTTTCACACGCCCTGAATGCAATCAACCGCTCTGCTTTTATTTTTGGACGATCTTGTTATGCACATAACTAGAGATCTACCATAACTATTAAGGTTATCAGTAGCATTTAACTAAGAACACATCTCAATGCATTTTTTTCAAAACTAATGACTTCAGATTATTTCCTAACAGTAGGGGCAACATGATATGTTGCTTTGGCTTGCTGATAAAAGCTGATAGTTTTGTCCAAAATGTTACTAAAATATTGGAAAAGCATAATTAATATTAGGATGTTTAAGTATTGCATACCATTTACTGGTTTCTTAGTAATCCGAATCAAAATATTGACAGCTAGTTTGTCAATCTGCACCAAACTTTATTTTCTGGCATAACGAATCCTAAATGTAGCCTTTTAATATTTTCTAGCCCAAAGGACATCCTTTTGATCAGAGTATTAATCTTGAGCATGTAACACTGATTGGTTTAAAATCCAAAATTTGCGCACTTTGTATTATGCTGCAGAGGTAATTCTCTGTTTCTGCCATCAGCAATTGTAAATCTTAACAACTAGAGTTCTTCGAGAATTATTTGCATTGACAATATTAACGGTCTATTTCTCTGTTTCTTATTTGAGCACAGGAAATAGTATCGCATTGTACTGTGAATAAGTTGAGCATTTCAAATTAATTCGAAACTTTATACTTTTATTAATTTTAATAACTTACAAATGCACAAAAACGTTTTTTAAGCCAATGAGATTTTGTATACATATATATGATTCCAGCTTAATTTATGAGAATATGTGTCTTCGACAAATCAGCAATGGCAAGAAGCATAAAGAAGAAAATAGGATCGAGAGTGTTGTATAAAAGAAATACGTCGTCCGTGCCACTGACAAGGAGATAGATGACGGTCCGGCGCAGTGATGAATCACTTGCCGGAAAGATGGGATTTTGGGCACCAAAAGCCTAGATATGATTTGGTAGCTACTCTTTCCAAGTTTATTTTACGTGTTCTTCGTGTTCCAAATTTGCAGATACGCCATAACAAAATTTCTGGATTTTTCAGTCTTTCAGCATAAATTTTTATCACTCTACAAGCAGAAAGGGAATTATCTACAGAAAACTGTCCTCGCAATTTTATGCTATTTTTTATTCTAAAATTGTATGCACTAAGAGACAAAAGATCCTGTCATAAAATTTAATGTTTGCGTTTAGCTTCAAGTCCTTACAACAAAAAAATCTGAACATTATAAATTCCTAATGCAAGACCGTTTGTTTTTTCTATATGGAAAAATGATTTTTAGTTTCTATATTACCACTGTTCCCACATTTTTATTCCCGCATTTAAAAACATGAGGTGTTCGCTTTGAGAATTTAATCATGTCATAAAAAGAGGGAGAGAGAAGAGAAGCAGGAAAACTTCCTTGGAAACAACTTCAAAAAATTAGTTTTTAATTCGGATAAATGTGTTCAATTAAATGGGGTTTTTGCTGATAATTTGCATAATAATATTGATGAAAGTCAACTTATATTGCACTTAAATACCTAAAACTGGAAAATCTTACGTGTTTGAATTTCAAGTAAATAACAGAGTAAGAAACTTTCTGAATATTAATGCATTCTGTGATGTGTAGGTTAAATGATCAATTAAACAATCAAATACTGAACAACGAAGCACAGCAGGAAATAAAAAGATAAATATTTCAGACTTTCTAAGATTTTCAAAATTAGGCATTCATATATTTGAATATTTTTTAACAAGTTTAAAATAGTTAAAGAATATTCAGACAATTATTTATTATTAATATTCAGACTATGGGTTACTTCAAAATTTTTCCTTGAAGTTGAATTTTGAATTATAAGTGTCCTCTGATTATTCGACGGATTGGGGTACAGGATGTTATCTGAAACCAGGATGAATGGAACAGTGTGGAGTCAGCATCTTTGAGATATATTTCGGCCTACCGAAAATTGTTGAAAGATAAAAAGTAGATAAGATAAAATAATAATTTTAATTTGGTTATTTTCCTTTCCATCCTAAAAATAGTTAGTGCTTATAATAAATAAAAACTGCATCACTACAATATTAATCCGTGGCATATGATTTTTGAATAAAGCGAATTGTGCAGGCACTAACATAATGTTTCTCCCAATAATAGTTTCAAAAACTTAAATTAAAATAAAGGTAAACCAAAATGAAATCATTCTGAATCACGCTTACATCCTTAATATATCGCTTTCTTTTTCTTTTGCTTAGATTCTGTTAACTTGATAACGCTTGCTGTTGCTTCTTCAAACATATTTTAGAAACCTGTAAGGTGCTGGTATAATTCTTCAGGACAGGTACGCTTTTTGCGCCAACATATTTTTGGTTACATATGTCAGCAATAAAACAAATGTTCAGCCAGCCTCGATGACTATTACTCTCTTTATACTTCAATATTTAAATCATATAATATTTATATAAAAAGGACACTGACAAATGAGTAAAAGCTTACATTTATAATGTGCAGCGGAAAAGTGAAGAAATTTATTGAAAGTAGAAACATGTACCAAATGTAGGGGTTTTAGTCAAATGCATGGAATTAAACAACTGAAAACTTAGTAATTCTTTAGAATAATTCTTTGCATTATTTAAACCGCAGTTTAAAGAGAGCTGGATATCTTGGATCGGCCAGTTTTTTTTTAATTCTAAACACAGCGTGAATATTAACATTTACATAAAAATTTAATCATTGACAAAGGGCAAAAAGGAACGGACCTTATCAAAAAGCAGAGAAAATGTGTAAGTTATTGAGGAGAAAATATCTATTTAGCTAGCTAGCTTTAAGTGTGGCTTTAATTACAAAATTACTAAAAATTCCCTATCGGATTCATTATTATTTCGGAATATTAAATTAAACTGAAATCACTGTCCCTAAATTTGGTTATACATAATTAAAATTTTTAAAATTTCTTTGCAGTATTTAAAACCCGAGCTCAATATGAACTGAATATTTTTAAAAGCCTAATTTTTTTATTACAAACATATGCATTCTCTTGTACTCTAACATTTACAAAGAATAGCCTAGTAATAAATTAGTTTGTTAGAGCGTTTTTTAATGTTATTCAGACAAAACTTTAAAATAACTTTCAGAATTAGTAGTTTTTGCATGTAAATGCATTTAATTATTTCTTGAAAAATTTATTCTTTCTTCATTTATTTTCTTATAAACAGAACTTTTCATAACATCATAACCGTTTGTGAAATAAACCATGGAAGTTTTCGAAGTATTTCTTCAAGGATTGGTAGAACAGAAAATTACAGGCCACTGTCTTAGACGAAATAGGAAAAGCAAAGCGCAAAAACAAAAATATATTTTAATAAGGTTTGTTTTTGACATCAAAACAAATGCGGGCGAAAACGGATCTCAAAGAACAGAAGCAGCAAATCTGCGGGTGATTCTTTTTTTTTTTTTTTTTTCCCCTAAACAGAAAATGCAAACATTGATTGCTTTGCTATTGGATGGAAGGCGAATGCTGTCATAGATAAAATATTGCAGATGCAGTGCTGGGATAAACAATGTCTTGCATCTTGTAAAAATGGACGTTGTTTGTTTGCGTTAGTCACCATGACATGTTTTGAACTTCATTTCGATATATCATATTTGAAAAACTATTTTTAGCTAATAGACATGAGTTCATTTGCCTTGCTTTTGTGTACGACGGCTCTGAGATATTATATTTACGATAACAGGAATGAACTTTATTTCTTACTTAGTCCTTTCCAAGTGTTGTAGGCTGTTTGTTTGGGTTTTATGCATTTTTATATTGTTATGCATTTTTTATTTAGTTATTTACCCCTTTATTTATTTGCGCATTTTCCATAATAATTTTACATTTATTTAATGGTTATTTCATTTAATTTTGAATTTATGGCAATTTAAAGTACTTATTTCATATGTTTACCAATTGTAGATCTTTTAATTCTGAATCAGTTATGTTTGATCTAAATTTTATGGTCAAGTTTGTGATATTTGACGATTTCTTACCAACTTGGTGATATTTCGAAAGTTTCTGGAAAAACGTTTCCGAAATCTTAAGAATGGTTTCTCTGGAAACTTCTAGAAGTGCTTTCAAAAGTACCCCTTCCCTTCCAGAATTTTTAAACTTCTGAAAGTTCCAAAATTTCCTCTTGGGCAATAGTATAAATAAGAGGCTTGATTCGCAGTAAAAAGTATGAAATAAAATAATTATGTGACTTCTTGACCACAACACTCAAAAACAGCAGGTCCTCTTAATTATTTTACACTTATATCATAAATTGTTGTGGTCAAGAAGTCATATAATTATAAGAAATAGCCTTTAGATTAAAAACCTTTTTTATATATTTTATTTATATTGCATAAAAATATTTTAAAGAATATTATTTAATATTATTTAGATATATTAAATAATTTTTAGTGCATTTCTCCCTTGTATTGTTTATATGATTTCTTCCTTATTACTTGATATAGTAGCGTTATAGCAATGAAAAATTAATCAATTTTATTAATACATTTTTTCAATCATTAGGATCTTTATTATGGGGATCAATTGCGGGAGCATACTTAGCTAAGATACTATCCCAGTCGACCCCTTTATGATGACTCACCCCTTTAACATTTCATGGACTCCAGTTGACTACACCTATACCGACCCCGTTGGAAACCCATGCTTTACAGAATCAAAATACATCCCATTCACATGTTGGATATTAACACGCAAAGTAATTATGCTATTAAATTTTTGACAGTGAAAATAAAAAATTGTTTTCCTTTTTTTCAGATGTTCAGATTTTAGATTTTTTTCAGATTTTGAATAGCGAATTATATTCGTATCGTACACGTGTTTTTTAAAAGCACGCTATAGATCCTAAAAATTCTGTCTTTTTATTTTTAAAAACGTAACCAAAAGAAATTCAGTTTTCAGAACTAAAACAGGACAAGTTATGTAAGTTATCATATTAATATGATACCGTCAGAGAAATAAGTTACTTAAGTGCTTTATGTACCATATTCTTAACGATAATACTTCACAATAAAATTCTTTTAAAAATTCACTAACGTCAAACTGCTAGCATGCTTCAAGGGTAGCTATGGTTGTAAAAGCTTCTCTCTTTTTTTTTCTCAAACTATGATAAATATTACTTTAGTGCTTTATGTACCATGTTGTTAACGATAATACTTCACTATAAAACTCTTTTAAAAATCCCGCAATAGCGTTAAACTGCTAAAATACTTCAAAAGTAGAAAAGGCTATAAAAGCTTCTTTCTTATTTTTTGCTGTCAAAAAATGGTGTAGTTAACTTAAAATGCCTCTTCATCTTGAGGTTTATGAAACTTTTGTTCCCTTCACTTCAAGTGTTAATAATTACATTAATTATTCTTAAAATCTTATCCCACGAAAGCAATTAACTATAAAAGGCTTTGGAAAGGTGCTTAGAAATGAAAATAGCGGCGTACATTTTGAATCTTCATTATGTAGTTTCAAAAATTATTAAAGAGACATTCTGCGGTTATTAGTATCGCAGATAATATTTTAATATCTTTTAAAAATTTCTGAAAGGATTGGGTAGCAGTATCCTCCTTGAATGATCCCTCTGAGTGCATTTATCTTCCGCAATCCATTTAAGACGTTCTCCAGTCCTAACGATTAATCGAAGTCATGATCGATTCCAGTTGCCGAAAGCACTAACCCTTAAGATGCCACGTACGCTACTTTGGCGACTTTCGAGACCCATCCAAAACTCTCTTTATGGCAACCCTTGGACATATTCGGTCTTCTTATAGGAGAAGAGTTTGGATCCAGGGAAAGATTTCTTTGGACGTGCCAGGGAGGATGGAGAGCAAACACATTAACTGCGACCGTCGCACGGACTGGATGAGGGTCTAAGAGTTGCCTTAGGGGAGGGATTTTGTACTTTTCTTAGTTTATTTTGGATGGAGTCGCGTACGCTGTGGTTGATACAGCAGAAGGTATCAAGCCGCTAGTCATGGAGGTCTAAATTTTAGTTGAAAGCAATATATGATCGCCAAGGGAACTATCAAAATGCCTTCTTGTAGTAAAACCTCTTTGATAAACAGAAGTTGATCTTGCAGGAAAAAGTATTCTTATTTATTCCAGAATGTGATCATAAATAAGCATATGAATGCCATGTATTTTTAAACACAAAACTAGGCATAACCTGAGGGAAGAAAGATAATGATAATATTTCTAAAACTATAATAATATTGATTTAGGCGAGAATTCTGCTTATTGAAGAAACTGCTTAGAAGTATTTTGAATACTTTATAACTAGATTCTATGTTGTCTGCGAAAACTCTTATTTGGTTATTGTGAAAAATATGAAATTTAATAATTTGCATAAAATGTGACCAATCCTTAAAAACGTACATACTTAAACAAATACTTGGTATGGCTTATGTTACCAAAATCACTATTCGAACGCTGTAATTAAATAAAAATAAAGAAAGTAATTATTTCAATTAATATTAATTTAAATAAAACTTTAAGTGTTTATATGTAGTTAATTATATATAGAGCAAATAAAACGTGATTACTCCAGAATACTGATTCTCGTAATGCACAACAATTCCAAAGTACACCTGCTAAAATTTGGTCTTTGGTTTTGAATTTAATATCTTCAGAGAAAAACGATGAAATTTTTTGCTTTTTTAGGAGCAAAATTATTCTGCATTCTATTAGAAAAGAAAACAATGTACTTCTAGCAAAAATAATATTGGTTTAGATCTTGAAATTTCCAGGATGAATTAATTCAAAATTCCTACTAGAATTAAAAGAATTTTCAGGGATTCAAATATTTCTACAAAGGGAAACTTAAACTACTAGATATAACGATAGTTAACTTTGATTTCTTTAACAAAAATATTCCTTTAATAGCACTTCTAAAATTAGAATTTAGATAATATTTTGAATTTAATTAATAAGTATTTTTTTATCCCTCAGTTCATAAAAAGTCGGAATTTGTTTTAATCAACAGTGTTAGGTTGCATTACGTTCGGATTTTTTATTATTTATTTATTTATTTTTACTTTCTACAGTGCGTTTTTACTGCAGGGAGTTTATTTAAATTTCATTGTATCTACGTTAGATCTTGCCACCTAAAATTATAAATAATCTTTGATATTTTTAAATACAGTTAGAAGAGAAAATCGTGCGAAAGTTTTCACTGTGCGAATTTTAATGGATAATCACTATCTAATATTATATTACAAAATTGAATACTTGCTTAGATAAAATTTCTTTGAAATACATGTGTTGAAGTTCTACTATTTGATGGATACAAACTTCTTTTCATATCTTATAAAATTGTAGTCGCGAATTTTAATTTTATAATCGCTGCTAAAAACAAATTCAAATTACCTCACTGCATATTATCTCAGAAAGATAAAAAAAAGGTTCTTGTGTTATCTGATATGCATATAGGTAAAAGTTAAGAAAAGCAAAAGGACGGGAAAATCTAGTTCGAATAAAAAATAAAGAATGAAATAGTGAAATTTAAGAAATTTTTTTAAACGATCATCAAATTAAAGGAAGAAAATTTTATGCTTTAAAAAAATTAAAAACTACTTTTGTCTCAGCATCTAAGTATGCTTAAATTATTTATACTAATCATAATCTGGAAACAAATATCATATTACCTAAAACTTTCTTCACGATTTCTTTAAATCAAAACATGACTACACATTTTTAACACATACCTTCTTCCAAGCATTGTATATGCAAACAAATTATTTCCCCATCGTGCCTAATACAGAAAATGCTTGTATATTTTTGGTACCTTTCGCAAAAAACTTGACAGGAACTTTTAGCGGAATCCACAACATTGAAACCTTGGAACCATGGGATGTAGTGACTTGTTCGAAACAACTACGTGTTCCATATTTGATGCGAAGAAATGGACTTAGAGAGTTGTTGCTGAGGAACTTTCAGTTATTTATGTTGATGGCGAGACAGATTTAAAGCTTTGGTGCATCGGAAGTCGAAATCTGCTCACTTATTTATAAAGATCCTCGTCTTTGGTGTTCAGGAAACCATAGAACTGAATGCGTGCTGTCGTGTTTCCCGCACATGCTCCTTCCTCAGTGCGGGTGGGGTCGACTGTCGCTCTAAAGTCGGAATCATATGAGAAAGGTGTATAATGGATTAGCTTTTGATTTCCCGAAAGATTTTCTTTTTCAGTATCCAATTTTTATTTGGTCTCCTGACATTTCTAGCCATAAATTTGAGAAAGTTTACAATACTTAACTCAGCTCTTATTTCAAGTGTGGTTTTTCAATGTAAATTAGTTCTAGGCAGGTTTTCGATTACTGGTTGTAGAAAGTCTAGTCTCTTGGTTCTTGCGCGAAGTTGTTACTCAGATTTATAATGCACAAAACCCCTTTATTCAATTAATTAATTAATTAATTAAAACAAAGCCCTAAACGGAACAAATACAAGATTTATTATAGATCTTTATGAACGAATAATTCTGAAAAAAGCAGTAAATGCAATGAATAAATTGAGATTATGAAGCTCAATTTCAGTTCTTATGACCCATTAGTTTTTAACTGCTTGATCCTGTTTCTTTTATTTTTTTATTCACGACAGTCTCTCCTGTTAGTAATAATACATTCTTAACCCTTCCATAACTTTGGAGGTAAGCAAATTTAACTTGAATAAAATAGGCAGCAGTACAGTTAAAGTTAATTATCATTACGTTCTTTCTTTCCATCGTCGGCAGAGCGACGATCCATATCGGCCTTGTGGTTCTGCTGAAGGAATTTACTTTACTAAAAGAGTCCCTGGATTGCAAGCCTCCTAGGTCTATGTTTGGCGAAGGGGCAAGGAAAATGTTTGTTTCGGTCCTCTTCAAAAGTCAAAGTCTATAAAATACTTTGTGTGTTTGACTGTTAGAATCATAGCATTCACACAGTAATGGTAACACAAAGAACTTTGGTATCATTACTGTAATTTTTACACGCTCTGCAACTTCATATATCTCTTGCGAAGTTATTCAATAGTGTTAACTGACAAAGGAAGAAGTAAGAGTCGCTGATCTGATGGTAAGTGAATTACAATTTTGTATATTTCTATAAATCTTTATGAAATTTTTCTTGAGTAACGACCTAGTCTAAATTGGCTCAGCAATTCCTTCTATCTTATTATTCTTCTATCTTAGGCAACTAATCTTTTCATGCCATAAATTTGTGTTGTCCATAATTAACCAAGCATACATTTCTGTCAGTGAAATGCAAGCCTCTTACTGATGCAAGTGCGGGATAGCTTATAATTATCTTGATTATTTTTTAATTGAGACATCATTCGTAATTTTATTCAGAGGCTGTTTGCATTGCAGCATTCAGACAGCAAGACATAGGTCACTAGGCAGAAGCTTTCAAGACTTTTCATCACCAAAGAATAAATAAATGAAACTTATAAAGTTATATTTTTGGTATGCATGTCTTTAAAATTCATTAAACTGGGCTTTTTTACAAAAATATGTATTCTTAATCAAATTAAACTTCTTAGGTGAGAAAACACAAAAACGGAAACTTCATATCAGGAAAGTTTTACTGCAGAACTTAAAAATTCAGACATTTTATAGGCTCAAATTTCTTATGAGAGAGTGATAATATTTGGTAGCAACAATTTGAAAAGTGAACCGACATTTATAGTAAACCAACGTAAAATGAAAAAAAAAAAAAAAAAAAAAAAACTTGTGGG